TTATTTACTTAATTAAGTACTTGATTATTATTATTATTATTATTATTATTATTATTATTATTATTCTATAAATAATTGGTTGTTATTATTATTTACTTAATTCAGTAATTTTCAGCAAGTAATTATTTGATTTAATTTAAATTATTTCATTTTTTAATTATTTATAATAGGCATTTAGGATAGTCTATTTATTTGATTTAAGAGACTTACCATGTTTTATCTAGACAATGACCCCATACTAAGTAAGGGGCAACTACGGTATCATTTAATTTAAAATTTATATTTAACAATAAAAAATCAATGTCATGTTGAGCAACCCACCCCCAAAAAAGTATCAATAACTTTGAAATCATTAATCTATTTATAAAATAGTAAAATTAGATGATGTTTACAACAATATCACCAATACTGCTTAATATTTAGGGACATATGAATGGATAAAAAGCATTTAAATGATATCTATTCAAAGAGGCAAAGAAGGAAGAAAACCATTCAAAGAACTGCTAAAAAAACAATCCATGCCAAACAACATTTGCAGATGCATCCATCCTTTGAAGTAAGAGATGAAAAATATATGACTACAATCAATCATTATGTATGGTTACAATCAACTGACAATTTAATCAAGATTCCAAAGCCTGTCCAACAGAGGAAACATGAAAGAAAGGAGAATAATGGGACCATCCTTAAGTATGGAAGTCACCTCCAAGTTAGGTGGCAACGCTTTTTTTGGTCGGTCATCGTTATAGATTTTATGTCTAAGCTCCCCAAAATGCACGTAGACTATCTAGAATTTATCTTTAGGAAAAAGGCAGGGAAACATGTATATAACATAATGGTATGCTTGAATTATGGGAATTGGGAGATAGAAATAGGAAATGTAGGTTGAAATTATAATTTTGGGCATATTGATGTGTCAAATTCAAGTCAATTAGAATAATCATAGATTTTTAGTTCATTCATTTAGTTGCAATTTGAATATTTTTTTATTCCATGTCTTTATTGAGTAATATAATTATGAATTTGAATGGTTTTTTTATTAATAATATACTAATAATTATGAAATCAGTAATAATATAAGTATATTATTATTACTATTATTTACTAATAATATATTCTTATTATGTGTATTGATTTTGAAATCAGTAATATTAAATTTTTATTATTATTATTATTACTATTATTATGAAATAATTAATTTGTTATAATTATGATTTTTAGTTTAACAATAATGGATAATTGAAAGTTTATAATTTAACTTTAACCAAATGAAATATTTATTGGAGAATAATAATAGTATTAATTATAATTACTTATAATAATAATAATGTAAATAAGTAACACTAATTATATATTTCTAAAATAATTAATATGAATTAATTTAAATATAAAATGATTTTATCCCGATTAATATTTATCATTGTTATAATTAATGAATTAATTATCAGTAAACAATTATAATCAGTAATTAAATTTGATCATAATTCATTATTATTAATAATAATTAATTATAAATAATAATAATAATAATAATATATAATTATATTAATTAATATAAGTATTAATTATAATTACTGATAGTTAATTATTTAATATAAATGTATGAATTATAATTTCAGATAATAATTCTAATATAACATTAACTGTTTATTTTCAAAATAATTAATATGAGTTAATATAAATATAAAATGATTATTTTTGAATTATAAATTATCATTATGAAAATCGTTATTAATTCATTCGGAATTAATAATGAGAAATATTATCATTAATTATTTAATATCAATAATTAAGTATTAGTAGTAATTATTATAAGAAATTGTTATCAGTAATTAATTATTATCAGTGAGTTATTATTATTAGTAATTAATAGCTGGAATTAATTAATTAAAAGTCATTAATTATTATTAGTACTCCTCTCTTTCAAAAAGCTGACTCATCATCATCATCGTTATCATCAATGACAATAACTTGATAAATACATAATTTGAAAAGAATAGATACATATCATTAATTTATTTATTTTTTATCTTTTGAAGAACTAAATAAGAGAAAAATAAAATGGTTAGCATTGCAAATGAAAAATTATTTGGATTTTTGCAAAAAAAAATTATTGAACATAAAAAACCAATCATTCAAAATTAAGGTCATTAATCAAAGAACATTTAAAATTATTCAGTAAATAATATTTTTAAGAAATTAAAATTATTAATTAATTATCTATCCAAATTAAAATGGGTACTTTCAGAAAATAATTTTAAGTAATTAGATTTTTCTATTTTTTTTAATAATAATCAGTATTATTAATAGATTAAATTATATTAATAATTATGAATTCAGTAATAATAATACATATATTATTATTAACTAATAATATATTCTTATTATGTGTGTATTGATTTTGAAATCAGTAATATTAAAGTATTATTATTATTACTGCTATTATTATTATTTAATTTTTATGTTTATTAAGTAATTAATTTGTTATAAATACGATTTTTAGTTAATTCATACAATAATATTTGCTTTTATAATTCTTTAAGTTTAACAATATTGAATAATAGAAAGTTTTATAATTTAACTTTCACTAAATGAAGTATTTATTGGAGAATAATAATATAATTAATTATAACTACTTTTAATAATAGTAATGTAAATAAGTAACACTAATTATATATTTATAAAATAATTAATATGATTTAATATTAATATAAAATGATTATATCCCAATTAATAATTAACATTCTGAAGTAATAACTATCTTGATTAGTATTAGTAATAATTAATTATAATTATTGATAATAATAATATAATTATATTAATGAATATAATATTATTAATTATAATTACTTATAATAATATAGTTAATTATTTCATATAAATGTATGGATTATACTTTTTGATAATAATTATAATATAAATAATTAAAATTAAATATTTATTTTCAAAATAATTAATATGAGTTAATATAAATATAAAATGATTATTTCTGAATTATTAATTACCATTATGAAAATATTTATTACTTATCATTAATTAATCATCATTTTGAATTAATAATGAGAAATATTGTGAGTAATAAATTATCAGTAATTAAGTATTAGCTGCAATTATTATAAGAAATAATTTTTTGTAATTAATTATTACCAGTGAGTAATTATTATTAGTAATTAATACCTAGAATTAGTTAATTATAAGTAGTTAATAGTAATTAATTAGTAATTAAAAATAATAATTATTATTAATTAATAGTTGTAATTAATTAATTAGAAGTAGTTAACAGTAATTATTATTAGTAATCAATAATGGAAATTAATTAATTAGTTTAGTAATTAACATTAATTATAACACAATTTCCTTTTTTTTTAGGAAATGATTGAAAGTGGGAGCTTCCCATTTGACACATATCTAATGGGCTCTGTTCTTAAACTACCACTAATCAGAATTTAACATCGGTCTTAAATCTTTAGAATGATATATATCTAAATGTAAATGAGCCACATGTATGACTAAATTTGAAACATAAAATCATTACTTTAATATATATATATATATATATATATATATATATATATATATGACTGAGTTTGGAAAGAGTACAAATGCAAATCTATAATGTACAACCTTATATTTTGTATTATTTTGTATGTATTTAGGCTGTACATATCTGCAATTGTAGTCTTTCCAAACTGAACAGTTTTGCAAAAATTTAGAAATTATTAATTAAAATTTGACACGTGGCAAGTAAATCGGTCGAATAGGGCAAGTGGGCAACCCTTACCTTCACCTTCAGCAAGACATGCAAAGAGAAAGACATCTGGGCAGATGCCGGGTGAACATTATGGGATGGGTCTCTATTGTGGGTCCTACTTTCTAGCATTGGTCAAATCATCCAACGGCACACACCTCAATATCAGGATCAGCGGTTTGCAAAAAATATGGAGAGATTGCTTGATCCACCTTAGACTGGAATATCCTGGGGCTAATTAATAAGGCATGCTGGTTTCTATGATTCTATCAAATTACTCTATGTAGAATTTAAGTGGGATTGGGACGACCGACCTGAAAGCCATTGTTTGTCTACCCGGATATTGATTCTATGCGGGCCCTCTCCTGCCAGAATCACTTTGGACGTACGATAGGAATCTATTTTAAGAGCATTTTTGCCCCCAAAACCGTTGCCCGTACTCACACCACCCTCATCTGATGGATCTTGATTCCCTCCCGTTCGGACTCTAGATTCCTTTCGTTACATTCGAGAAAAGATCTTGTTGACCTGGGGCTCGCATTACCTTTTTATCCTACATTGCATCATCCGACGGACATAAACTTGAGACATGGATCCGTTTTTCGACAACTTATTAAGGGTAAGTCTGTCATTCTAGAGCACTTAATGGCATTTCCAGATATTTCGGCCAACAAGAGGGGTACTCAATTAATATCTACCCTATAAATAAACCGACTCCGCTTCCATCACATTCTCTCCCACTCTCTCTCCTCTCCCGTCTCTCAAAATCACAATCTCCGGTTTCTCTCTCGCTCTCGCCCCCTCTTTCCCCACTCCTTCTAAACCCCCCAACCTTACCATCTCTTTCCTCTCTACGCTGCCCCCCCCAGCGGCGCCACTCTTAAAAACCACTGCCTGTACTGTAAATCCGGCCAGGTCGTCGGATTCTGGCGAAGGGCCTGCCGATCCGATATCACCGTCACCTCTTTTCCCCTTTGTCTGTCTCTCTCTGTCTCGTTCTCGTTTCAAACGTCTTTCTAAATTTTCCCTATTTTTCTTTATCTTGGGTTCTTTTTTTCCTGGACGTTTTTAGCCCTAATTCTTAACGGTAATTACATGTCATCATACGCAATAACGCAAAACCGAGCGGTCTTTTTTTCGTCTCATTTAAGATTCTTGATTTAATTACTTTTCTTGGGGGTTTAAAATTCTGACAGGTTTGTTGCTGACGTGGCAAGCTTTCATGCTTTCGACTGAGAGATCCTCGATTACAATGTCGAACAACAACCACCCCCGTCGCGTTTTGACGCCATGGGTGTCGAGGAAGCGTAAAGAGAGGGAAGGATTTGACGCCCTTAAAGCGTCAACAACAACGACGACAACGACATCCGCAGCGCCCAAGGGCGAGCCGGCCTCGGCTAACAAGCTCCTAGCCGGATATCTGGCTCAGGAGTTTCTCACAAAGGGGACGCTGCTCGGTCAGAAGTGGGACCCGGCTCGGTTTGAGGCAGCGCCTATAATATCGACGGTTGCTATTGAATCGAGAAAACCGAATCACCATCACAGAGCAGCAGCCACCACCACCGCCGGTGAAGCTGTGGCGGAGCCGAAGCCGACAACGGCGACGAGGAAGGCAGCGAAGCATCCAAGCTACGACGACGTTGCGAGACTACTGAAGGCGGATGGGACCCATATAGCAGGGATTGTCAACCCTAAGCAGCTATCGGAGTGGCTACACATGTGAGGCAGCGGTGGCAACGTTACGGAGACACGTGGCACGGCTCCATTGGGCATATGTTTCCCACGTACGGTCCACAGCATCCCGTACTCTTCTTTTTTTTTGCGCAGAATGAGTTTCTCGATGGAGCGACTGGTTCCCGGTAAGTGACCAGAGAATGAACCACCACAACAAAGGAGAGAGAACAGGCACACAGCCACGCGCGCGCGCGCACACACACACACTCTCTCTTTCTCTGTCTATTTCTTCTTCTGTCTCTCTCTCTCTGGTTTTAGGCTTTCCTTTGGTATCTCAGATTTTCGGTTCTCTTGTAGTTTACATCCTGTAAAATTACGAGGAAAAGTAACTTGGAGCAGAGACCCACGAAATGAAAGTATGAACTGGATAGCCATTGTTGTAGGTTTTTTTTCATTTGAATGTTTGCATTTTGCATGGCCAGAATGTCTTCTAAGTCTATACTACTGTTTGCTCTCTATCTTTCTCTCAGTACGTGTCTCTCTGTACTGTGTGTGTTGATTGAAGGAGAAGGAATGAATGAGGTGATGAGAGGAGTTGCTCTGCAGAGAGGAAGTGAAGAAGTAGAAGATAATGAGTGAACCGCTGGAGGAGAACTGGAGAGGATTGTGATAAAGATGGAAATGGAGGATGTGGGATGCGACACGTGCATGGGCGTGCATGAATTTATGTGCTGTCTGCTGTGTTCATGTGAAAGCTGAGGATTGAATCTTCCTCGTAGTCCTCCATGGATTTCTCTTCCTGTTTTCTACTTCTGTTGTTCTCGTTCATTTATCTACCGAATTCCAGAATTTGATCCCGAGTGAGATAAATGGGTGGAGCTAGATAGGAAAATGGGCGGATAAGGACGCCTTGTTTGATTATTTCTTCCTCGCTCCGACCCACTTATCCTCTCCTTGTCAAAACGCTTAGAATACCAACTCATGCCATGGCTGTCAATAAAATGGCCTTTTATATATCACCCATACCATAATCCATCCAAAATAATAATAATAATAAAATAATAATAATAATAATAATAATAATAATAATAATAATAATAATAATAATAATAATAATAATAATAGAAATAATAATAATAATAATGCTTTTTTTTTTTGAAAAAAAAAAGTTTTTTTGTTTGTTTTATCTTGTTTGGAATTAGAAGAAAATACAAGGCTGTATTTGGTTTGAAAGAAAAGATAGGAAAAGGAAGGAAAACCAATACAAGGTTCTCTTCTTTTCCATACCTTTTCTTTGAAACCAAATACAGCCTAACTGGTATAGGTGAAATAATAATGGCTTGCTGAGAAAGTGCCACCGAGCTGTGGGGTTGGAGGCATAAGGAGCAGCCATGGGTACAACCGGATAGAAGATTCTCATCAACTTAGAGAGAGAGAGAGGAAAGCACACATGATAGGCGCATGGTAATGTCAGAAGAGTTTGTTTGGAGTAATTTTCAATTGCTAATTAGTTATGATAGCTTATATTTTGCCCATATTGGTTAATGTATTAGAGAGTGTTTGGTTCCGTTGGCGTGGCATTTATGGATAGTTCATTTATTTTTATTTTTTCATTTAAATATTTATTGATATTTTTCATTTTAAATGTTTCAAGTTTTTGTTGTTTGGTTGGGTTTTACTTTAAATGTTTTTTATTATTTATCTCAGATTAATACTCATTAAAGTGTCACATTAACATTTGGTTTCAAAAAACACTAGCCTTAGGGGGAAACTAAAGAATTCAATGGTTCCTCAAATGCCCCATGCACAAAAATCAAAGCATTTTAATTTTCTACCATTTATTTGATAAACAGTGAAACCAAACAATTATTTCATTTTGCTTCATCTGCAACAAACGCCAATGTCTATACGTTGCTGATGTTGCGGCGTTTTTTCAATAAACTCTCACGAAACCAAGAAATGCTGCTTGATTGGACATTATTTTGTTCTTTGGTTGGGCATTATTTTGCAGTTTCTTACTTTCCACCTCAAATTAAACACCCCATAAAATATATCACATAAATATTTTATCTCAAGAAATGTTGGGGTGAGAAATAAGAATTTAAGGTTTCTACAAATGCCTTATGCACATAAGTCCAAATGTTTATATTTTCTAGTATTTATTTGATAAACATTGAAACCAAACAATGGTTTCATGTACAATAAAGGTCAATGCCTAACACAAAAATTGCTAATCACACGACTCAAAGGAGTCGATACTTTTAGATTTTTTTTTTTTTCAAGTTTGAAGAATTAAAATAAGACATGACATCTTTAGCAAGGGTATTAACCTTCTTTATCCAAAAAAAAAAGAGGTATTAACATTCAAAAGTGGACACATGTCCCAACTCCTAATATTTCGTGCAATGGTACACACTGATATTTTGAACCTTGCTTTAAGCCCAAATCCATTCTAAAGGGGTGCCGAAAATGTCAGCATATATCTTTGAGCTAACCAGCATGCATAGGGTGACAGAGGAGAGGAGACCATCATCATCATCATCATCTATTTCTATTTTCTAAGTTTATTAAATTTCAATTTGAAAAAGAATATATATATATATATAAATATATAAATCGATTTTTAATTTTAAAAATAATTTGGGTTCATTCAAAAACTTGTATTTTTTTTCGGAAAAGACAGAAACTTGTAGAATCGTAGTTTAAGAGGGCATTCTACAACATGAATGTTTTAGTTTTCATTTGTTTTGGAATTGAGACATTAGCAAAAAAACATTACATGTTTTTGGAATTTTGGAACCAACAAAATATTGGTTTTTAAAACAAAAACAAATGTTTTTAGCATAAAAGTCATATGATTTGTGAAACATGATGTTGAATAATCAAATGAAAACATGTTTTTTAAACCAGATTCAAGAACATATTTTTGGTTTCAATATTGAAAACAGAAAATACACGTACAATTGGGAACATATTTTTTGTATTTTTATTTTAAGAAACAATCTATTTTCAAACAAGATGGTTTTGATTTATTTTAGAATTGACAATAAGAAAAATAATTCACGTTGTAGAATGCTTTCTAAATTGCTTTGAATGTTTTTTTTAATTAAATTTCAGGTAAATTCTTGGTGATTCTAATGTTAGATAAGCCTGATTATTTTATTAATTTAAAGTAATTCCTGTGTGGATTTATGAGTTGATTACGACCCTATTCATTAAGCCTTCTGCAAAGAAACACGGGCTATTCTTCCTTTCTATCAAAGAATATATATTTCAGAACAATTCTAACCTCTTTTCATTTCCACATTTTTGGTGGACATTTCCACTCTTTTGAGTTTAAAATTTCAACAACCTTATCCAAATATTAAGTACGCGGATTGTTGCATTAATTGAAAGTAATGTTTTTAAAACCGGATTAGACCGGATGGTCGAACTTGAAAAACCGGTCAGGTGACCGGCTCCATTTCACTCCAGAACCATCTTTTGGCCAAAAATTATTGATTTGATCAATGAAGTGTTGATTCAGGTGATCGAACCGTTTAAACTGTTGGCCTAGACAATGGTTTTTGGACATTTTTATTTTTTGTCAGAATGAATCATCCGTTCAATTTGAATGATTGAACCATTTGACCCAGAAACCAGACCCTTAAAGGTTTGTTGTCCGATTGAATTTTAAAAACATTGAATGAAAGCCATTAATCTAACGACGAACACTTTAGCCTTTAGGGGGGAAATATTATTATTTTATTTTAAACAAATACACCCTACAATATTCATTGTGTGCGGTGTTAAGGCAGTTACCATAACAAGCTTACCGTGGCGTTAGCATTTCTCTTAATTTCGGTACGCTGTACAGACTTCATCTAGACCCCTCATCTCCATGAAAGTGAATGTGTGATAAATATAAAGAAAACTATTTAATCCAGGCATTCCCATTCCATTACAATTCAGAGAGAGAGACCCAGAATGTGAAGGGTCTAGGAAGCTGCTACTCATAGAATGATAGAAATCAATTTGATTTTCATTTTGAGTTTCTGTTTTATCTGATCCAACAACAAAGCAACCCAAACCCAGATTGGGGAAGTGGGCTATGTGGGTGAAGCAGATAAGTTCTGAAATTGATGGACCCGGAATCAATGTATAGTAGCTACGAGTTGTACTTGAAGAGATTACATAGATGGTAACCCACAAACGCCCCACATATACATCTCAGTGTTCATTGGGAACATCCCTGAAGTTGCCGGTGGGAGATGTTTCTAATACACGATTGGGATATGCTGTGGGGCACCATTGTGGGACGCAGATGTGGTCTCTTCAATACAATTCCTAGCTTCGGTACATTCTGGCTGGGTGTGTCAATTTCAGAACTTATCTGATTCACCCATGGTTTTTAAAACCGACCCGGTGACTGAAGTGGTCAGGGGTCTGATTACCGGTTCAAACTGGGCGATCGTTCGACGAATAGTCAGCCGTTCTAACAAAAAAAATAAAAATAATTAAAAAAAATTAAAAAATTTGAAAAACGGTCAAAACCGTTTGAACGATTAACTGGCCGATTCAACGGTTTACTAACTAAAATCAATGATTTTAGGAAAAAAATAAAATTGATCAGGTGACCAATTTCCGGTTTTTTCAGTCCGGTCTGATTTTGAAAACCATGAATTCACGTGGCCCACTTCTCCAATTTGGGTTTGGGTTGGTTGGTTGTTGGATCAGATAAAACAGAGCCTCAAAATGAAAATCAAATTGAAATCCATTTCATTCGTACGTACTGGAGATCTGCCAGGCTGCCACATTCATTTAAATTCATTTCATTTTCACTTTGAGACTGTGTTTGATCTGATGACCCAACAACCAAACAACCATCCAAAACCCAGTTCTTGAAACCCTGATTGGAGAAGTGGGCCATGTGTGGGTGAACCAGATAGGGTCTGAGATTATTGCGCCAATCTTATTTCAGTAGTTGTAAAGGGACCATGGAGATCATGTCTCCAAACATCTAAACCAGAGTTTCTATCTACTAATATTTTTCATATTATTATATTAATA